GTTGATTATTAGGTATTTTGAAAAGAAAAGTAAAACTCATGTGAGCAAAAAAAAAAAGATAAGAAAGTAAATACTCAAATGAGCAAAGATGAAAATGGCATGAAATGTAAATGTTAAAAGTAAATAGTGCATAAAAATAAAAGGGGCATATAATAAAAGAATAAAGGATAAAGTCAATTGTTAGTGATTAGTGGTTAGTTGGATGATCATCTTGAAACTTGCATTTAGAACTCATTATAGGATTGGTAGAACCAAAGCCTCCACACAACAAGTTGCATTTTCTTTTTGTCAAGTATATCATCCATTTGGAATCCTCGAAAGTACCATTTAATGATCAACGATATTTAAGTGATTTGCGTTGACCAAAGGTGTTGTAGATCCATTAGAGGATTTGTAGAACCAAAGCCTCCACATAACGAATCTCAAGGTTATTGGATAAAAGAGATCAAATTAACATACTTAGGCTTGCAAACATAAGTTTAGGCCACGAATGATCATTTATTCTAATCGGGACAAAATTTAGCGTTATGTTAAGCAATCGTAAGTGAACTTATATAGAAGTCGCACCTATTTTGAGGTCGGTCAATAGCAATCTATGCACCATTTGTTTTGAGACATGATATAGAGATCATGCTCCAACAACATTTAGTGCAATGAGAAAGGGATGAGATGAAGAGGGGTGAGAGAGAATGTACAAATCACTTTTGGATTAAATTTAATCAAACTATTATTAAAATCATTCATCCATTTTTGTGGAGTTAGACTCAACACCATGGGTCCAATGATGTTAATAAAGTTTATGATAAAAAATTTAACCTAAGATCAGCTAAAAAATAGTCACAAAATAATATTACATTTTAATATATACAAAAAGGTTTTAAAATAATGTTTAAAATAGAAATAAAAGAGAAAAATATCAACTATGTTCAAATTAATCAAGAAATAAAAATTAAGACCATAGAAAAATTAGAAAATGGCTCAAATGATTTTATAAATTTTTTGGTAATTTTTTAAAGTCAGAAACTATTTTAAAATTTAAAGAAATGGGTAAAATAAACCAAAAATGATTAAAAAAATAGCAAAGCCATAAATAAAAATAAAATAAGGTCACCAATATTTGTCACAATATCATTGGATCATTCCATAATTTTTTCAGAATTTAAAAATGCATAAAAGCATTTTTAAACATTTAAATCAATTCAAAGAAAGTGAAAATTTATAAAAAAATAACAAACCACAAAATTAAATTGTGAATAAATAAAAATCAGAAAGAGAATAATCAAAAATATTTTTCATAATTTTTTCAGATTTTTTAGACTAAAAATGAATTTTCTATGATTTTTTGAAGTTTAAGACAATTAAATATAAAAAAATCAAAAAAGAAAATAAAAATAAAAAATATGTGGACCATTGGATGAGAGTCAAAACGCGTTAGTAATCAAATCCAAGGGATCTGGCGCGTTGTGCATATCATGGTCATTAGTGAATAAAGCACTGAATCAATTATTAAATCAGAATTCAAAAATAACAAGTGGCGTGTCATCATTGGTTGGAAGATGACATATTGGTCATCTTCAACCTCCAGCCAACGTGAATTACAGATCTCTCAAACTGTAAAATCAGAAGCTCAGACCTATGCCATTCGCTTCGTCTCTTCAAGACGAAGACAACTACACCCTCGCGCCAAATTTATATAAATTGTAGCTCAAGCAATTTGGAAACAATGTTTTGAAAAGGGATTTGAAATTTCATGGTCAAAACGTGTTTCCAGTAAAAAAAAGCAAGTCTTGCAACTAGAACCAGGGCAATGAGAGCATCACAATGATATCAAAGTTTTGAAGAATTGATTAAGGAATCTACCTATTGAAGTTGAGTTGCAGAGCTCTGAAACTGGACTTCTATGAAGTAATATAGGGCACGATTCTTGAATGTAATTATATGGTTAGCTTCCGGGAAGATCAAGGAAGGTGAATTGATGAAAAAATTGGATTGAAAAAGACTTGTATATGGGTTTCAAAGTTGCTGAATTTTGAGTTATGGAACAAGTTTGGCAGGGTGATTCTGGCTATCCAAGCTTGAGGAAATGAATGGGGAATGACCCTCTATTTATAGGGAATCAAATGAAATGTCCAAGCGTGTGAAATGATGAAATTTGAAGGGAAATCGTGTGAAGTTGCAAACAAGAAAAGTGTGACTTCCAATTTGATCAAAACACATCCAAAACGCATGTTTTACTATGCTAATCACTTATGGAACTTCATTAAACATGTTTAGAGGCATAAATGCGCAAAATCAAAGTGTTTGGAAGTCAAATTAAGGATTTCAAACTTCTGACTTGATGAAAAATTCAGTTTCAAAGTGCCAACTTCTGACCAATAGCATTCTCAGCTCAAGGGGTCTTAGAGCATGATTCTTGATGCTTCAGAAAAATGAGGTTACAAGCTTTGCAATGGAAGAAGAATGGAATCAAATGCATGCTTGAACTGAAAGTTGTGTTGAGTCAAAGTTGGAGAAAAAATGTTGACTTTCCATACTTAAAAATATTTCAAATTTTTCTTCAAAAATGACCTATAATGTCTTGCATCCAAACATAGCCTTCCACTTAGAATTTGCTCTTGACCAAAAAATATGGCATGAAGTAGATCTCTTGATTGACATTTTGAAATTTGAACCATTCAAAATCTTCAAAAATTGAGAGAGTTATGACTTGTTGAAGTTGGCAAAATTTCATAAAATGACCTATAATCTTTTGTATCCTTAAGGCAACTTCCATCCATTTTCTCACTTTGCACATAAAAGAAGGCATAAAATTCACATCTTCAAGATCATTATGAAAAAAGAATGGGCTCAAGGTGATAAAAAATTGACCAAGTTATGATCATTTGAAGTCACACTTGAAAAATTGGGGATTCATCTGGAGGACTTGTAATCTTTCTTCTTATCAAGTTTCTTCCACATGAAAACTCTTTGGAACTTTTAAAGTGATTTGTTGATAACCCTTTAAAGAGAAGTATGTCTTTGGAATCACTCAAAAATATCAAAAAATGAGCAAGATATACTCCTTTGAAGTTCAAAACCCTAGCTCCTAGATCAAGAAAAATGCCTTGAGGAACTTTGACAATTTTGAACAAACTTCTTGTACCAACACTCCTGATTTGTAAATAGAAGTTATTGAGGATGAAATTGAGAATTCATAGCCTCCAAAACCACTTCCATATCTTGAGAATTTAGAGAAATATGCACTTGTGACCAATGAGAACAAGGCCTTGTCCAACCATGACAACTTCTTCAATCAACCCCTTGCACTTTTGAATCAATCTTGATAACTTGGAGATGTAGTGAACGAAAATGACCTTGTCATGCCATCCCTTCCAAAACAACTTCCATGGTGAGGTTTGAACTTCTCAAGCTTCATTGACTAGGTCATGGAAATAAACTCATGAACCCATGGATCAACTTGCTAAGCCACATTACCTTTACCTACATTATTAACAAGTAAGACAAACCAACATTGTATTTTATTAATTAAAAGAAAATTAAGACAAAACATTCATGATCACAAAAGAACACAAGTCAAGGTGTTTGGTGATTCCTCAAAGTGCACAGCTAAATATAGGGAGGGGAACCAAGAGCCCTAATGTGGTCTTGCTGTGATTGAATCAATATGATATAGTGAAAAGATCTTAGAGGCAAAAATTGGAGTACAACACTACACTAAGAAGGTTTTTTTAGAAAGAATGATAAAGAAACATATTTATAATTATTGAAACTTAATTGATTCATAATAAACCCAAAACAAAATGTGATAATGTTATAAATATCTTATAATATTTTTTATATTCATTTAGAGTATTTTAAAATATCTCTTAATATCATATTTAATATTATTTACTATTATAATATTCTAACACAATCCATCAACGAAACGGATTTGCCAACCAAAACGACCGAGCCTAATTCTCACAAATAACCCAAACTGGATTCAATGCCTAAGGACTGCCCGCCGCCGCCGGCGGCCAAACTCCGATCAAACACTGCCGAACCATGAACCACTAGCGTTACCAATGCAACTTTGCCGGCAACTGTCAGACCACCGCCACCATAGTTCTAACATCCTTGATGGACTTTTTATGTTGTTGTTTAACTTTCGGCAAAATTGAATAATTAAACGAGTCTGTGGCTTTACATAAAGATATCTATTGTTGAAAATACCTAGCCTTACATATTCCAATTTGTTTGGTCATATTTAGCTGGAACATGGAACTTATTCCCTCTTGTTGATCATGAAACAATGAATAGCACTGTGCTAAAGATCAACCTACCTTATCTCATCAATAACTAAAATCATCCTACATTCCACAACCATTCCATCCATTAATAACTTAACAACCATAATTAGAACTATAACAAAATCAGTCCACTCATATTGATCATCCACTTTGGCATCATTATAGCAGCACAACCAGATACATTAGTTTTCAGGTCTACATTTAAGACCGAAAGCTATAGCAGTAAAACCAGATACATTAAAGACAAATCCCATACACTTCAACAACACTTCTAATAAGAAAACTCTTGCTTGATTTTATACCTATCACTTGTACTTCTCTTAGCAACCAGTATTCACCTAATCAAATCTACCAAACACAGAATAAAATTTGCTACACAGACAAAGGACGGAGTGAAAAATGATTTAAAATTTTACTATGCATTCTGGAAAAGCAATAACCACAGAGCACATGACATTGTTAGAGGAAAATATGTATCATGGAAGTTATGTGCAACACACTCTCAATGGTGCACCGTCTCACTTTACAATCACAGGTTACCCAAGTGTACATTATTGTCATACTTTGAAACTTCTTTTGCACTTGAAACACCAGAGTCTCTATTTAAACTTTCCTATGCAACTTCTGTCTCCAAAGAAATTGTGATTATCATCCGTTAATCATGTACAAGCTCTTGTGTTCTTACAAAATGAGTTTCTCGTGGAAGGCCTTTCAATCTTGCACAAAGGGTTCTTTAGCTGGTTCAAGCACTATAGGCTCCAATTTATCTGCTTCATCATCTCCTTTGGGTATAATGAGCCCATAACCCCCTTCTTTTCTTTTGTATATAATATTAATCTCCCCTAAAACAAAGGAAACACATTTAATTCCCAATACAGCATCAACAAAAAATAGAGGAGGGACAAGAAAAAGGTGCGAGAAACAAGGCCAGACGAAAGACAGATAAAACAGTAGAATTTACTCACCAGTTTCTTCATTTCGAAAAGCATAGAAGTCATGATGAACATTTTCCAACTGGTCAATTGCTTCAAACACGGTTAAGGGAGGCATGTCAAAGTATTTTGTTCTAACAACCTGTATTAAACAGCCACACAACTAGAGTTAGTGCAACAGATAGCACTGAAGCAAATCTTCCAACCAGAAATTGAAGTTTTTCTATTAGGTTTGCAGAACAATTTTCAGTTCTAATTTCTAGAATATATAACAGGATAATATTTCAATAAACAGAGGAAAAGGAAACTAAATTAATAGATAGGAAGAACGAAAACTACGTTGACAAATGACAAGTATCAAGTACTAAGGCACCAACCTCTTGAATAAGTTGTTCTTCCTCCTCCTTCTGAGGGGAAATTTCAACTTCATCCTCTTCATCCTCTGACGGTAATGGAATTATGGGCTCCCTATATTTCAACCTATTGGATCCCTTCATGTGTCGACCATGATCGGTTTCTTTTTCCTTGATCTTTCTCAACTTTCTCTGAATGATCGAGGACACCAAGTCTATACTCCCATAGGTAGTTTCAGCGTGTTCCTCAGCCCGCACAACCCCGTGCCTCTTAGTAAACAAAGTCACCTAGTTAACACAAATGATAGAAACCAACTAATTAACTCAAAACCCATAATCATTCCTAGGTTACAAATTACAACAACACAAGCAAAATAGAGATTGATCCACCTCACATCTTCGCGTCCTGGGCCCTCGGCCAAATTCTCCTCCTCCGCGGATAGATAGCCTGACATCAACTTCCCTTACAACGTAGCTATGCTTCTGAACTGCTCTCCCCACTTTGTCCTCGATGTGCTGCTTCACCGCATCATTAAGCTGAACCCACTCACAGGAGCACCAACACATATTACATTATTAAAAAAAAGTTATAAATTGGGAATAGATATATTAGTTAGTAGATGTAAATGTTAGTTATAGATTACACTAGTTAGTTACTGTACTCATACTCAGTAGGACCGACACCTGGATTAATAATAATAATAATAAGCAATAAAATGGAAAAGGAATAGATACATACCTCCATGTTTTTACCCTGGATGATTAATTTGACGGAAGAGAGAGGACCGTCCCACGACATGCGAACAACGCGGTGTTTAGTGGTTGATGTTGTTGTTACAACATGGTTAAATTTGAGCAATTGTTTTCTGGATTCTCCTTTCAAGAATGTTGTGGAGGGTAGTAACTTGGTTTTGGAGGAGATTTGAGGAGATGGAGAGAGTACAGAAAGGCAGCGAGTGGGAGAAGGGGAAGATGGGAGAAAGTTAGTCTGGAAGTTGAAGTGAGTCGCCATTGCCATTTGAGTGAAGATGGTTGTACTACTGCAGTGTCAATAAACGAAGGAAGAAAGAGGAAGTGGTGGTGGTCACAGCGTTTGATGACGGTTGCTTGTCTGTTTCCTTTTTGGATGACGATGAATATTCACACGCGGGCCATTCTATTCTATCCATACCTAAATTTCGGATATTTATTTATGAATAATATATACATTCTTTTTTTTTTTTTTTTACAACTATGAATAAGTTCAAAGATAAAATAACATAATGCATTAAAAAATGAGAAAATAGAACATGTACTACTGTCAATCAATTTTGTTAAATCATTTTTATATTTTCAAATTATTTAAATAATATGATAAATTATTAATTATTATTGAACGACAAGCTCAAATTATTAATGCATGTCACATCATCAATTTAAATGAGATGTTATGCAAAATGACATTTAAATGGGTGAGGCTTAAAGTCTAATTTTTTTTTTAAAAGAGATCAAAATTTAAAGTAGTTAAAATATAGTATATTATGTTAATAATAAATTAATATAAAATTAAAATATAGTATATAATAAGTAATTAACCGAATAATTTAACATCTACTTAAGTCATAATCTTATTATATAAAGAATAAAAAATAAATAACATGGTTGTTTCAGAGCTTTAAAAGAAAATTCAAAAAAAATATCATAAGTAATATTTATATGTAAAATTAGTCCAACTCAAATTTTGAAAGATTTTTTTATAAATTATGTTGTAAGTTTTTGTTGAAGATATGATATTTATATCGGTTATTTAAGTGAGTATAAAATTTAAGGGTGTGTTTGATTCAAGTTATCAAATTACATTCTTTGAAATTATATTTTTTGGATTTATATTTTTTGAAATAATATTTCAGCTTATATGTTTTGATAAAAATAAATTTTTCTTTTTATAAATTTATTTAATTTAAAAATTATTAAAAATAAATAAAAATAGTAATAATTTATGAGTAGAAATGAGAAGTTAGTGGTAGTTAGATTTATTCTCATAGGAATGTTGGATTTCCACCATTTAATCATAGAAATAAAAATAGAAAGATCATGTATAAATAAGATTCATGTTAATAAAATATGTCGTGGAATAATTTTTTTAAACTTGAATCAAACATGGGAATGTTGCATTCCCATGACCATATTCCTTGGAATATTTTTTACAATCTTGAAACAAACACACTCTAACAGTAAGTGTACGATTTATCGTGTAGTTTTAAAAAGATATTATACCACAGAAACCAATAGTCAAATCTATTGTTACTAATTGTTACAGTGTTTATTTAAGGCAGATAATTAAAATAAGGTAATGAAAAGCGAAAATAATAGATAATGGCGAATAATAAAATTGCAATAAAATAAGAAGTGATAAATAAATCAAATAAACAGTGTCATAATGTGGATTCCATTAATTAACAGTACTCTTATTTGTTTCTAAGTAGAATTTCTAAAGGGCAGTATTTTCTATTTTGAAAAGAATCAACTTAACATGAATTGTCGCTTTCGAGTATTTAGAACCCGAATTTACCCTTTAATCAATACCTTCCATCGTCACACATGGTAGGCGCGTGTTGTACCCCAAAATTTTCTCTCTCATGTTTTCCAAGATCTTTTCTTATATGGGTGTAGCAGTGAAAATCGGAGATCAAGCTATTAATTAACTTGACTCACAAAAGCAAGAGTCGCCACCGCGCTTTATTATTTCCAAGGGAAAAGGGAAAAGAGCGAAATAAAACCCTAAAATAGCAATGAAAATACAATGCGTTTTTGAAAAGAGATCAAGAGTTCGGGGGTTAGTTATACAATGGGAAGGTATTAGCACCCAATGCATCTGCGGTACTCCGCAGGAACCTTTTGAAATATCTGTTTTTTTGGTTAAAATTGTTTGTTATATACAAGGGTGTATTTATCTACAACTATGTTTGTTTAAGGAAAAAAAGAGTTTTTATTATTGCGTTCGTGAGGGTTTCGCGACCCTTTGCCTACGTATCCAATGAAGGAATCAAAACACCGTAGTTCCTCTAGAAAAAAGTTGATTTGTTTGTGTTTTTTAGTGGGCGACATTAACGCACGCATTCTAGCAATAGGCACGGCCGATATCGCGGTAGAACGGAGTTAACATGCCCTCGGGGGGGAGTTTTGATTTGTTGAGTGTTTTTGCATGTTTTAAAGTATATTCAAATAATGATTAAAGAGTATTTTTGATTTTTTTTTTGGTTTGTTTATTTATTGGTTTTATCTTGCCTAATTACTAGTATTTGTACAAAGTAAATAAAAATGCAGAGAGATAAAAAAACCTACACTATTACAAACATTTCAAAAGGCATAAAAAATATGAAGAAAAAAAAAAGATAAAAGTAAGAAAATGAGTATCTTTCGACCTAGGCAATAGCACAATTCGACTGGCATTTTGTTGGCCTCCTTCGATTGGGGCTAGCATCAGTGAAGTCACGTCTTTCGATTGGGCTTTGGCAGGGGCGAGGTCCTGTCCTTCGATTGGGCAAAGACAGCAGCAAGTTGTATCCTTCGACTGGGCAAAGGCAGCAGCAAGTTGTATCCTTCGACTAGGGGTTCGCGCCAGTGAGGTTTTGTCCTTCGATTGGCCTGGAAGTCAATGTATGGCGAAGTCTTTTGATTCTACCTTGTTGCCTTCTTCGACTGGGGGTTGAAAGCATTGAGGGAATGCCTTTCGATTGGACATGGTTTGCCTCCTGGTTGTATCTTTCGTTCGACCTGGAGAAAGATGGCAGAAGCCAGAAGCTTCGTTTCCTGTTTCCTGTTTCCTGTTTCTTTCATTTAAAACATTAAATGGCAACATGGCCTGGGGCCATGCTAATATTTGTTTGGCAAATAGTTTAACAATTAAAGCAAATTCAGGCAAACAGAAAGCAGAAACGAAAAGCTTAGCTCTAACAAATATGTTAAAAAAAAGGTGGAATCAAAGTTACAGTGGTATGTACATGTTTGAAATGAACGAAAAGATTATTTACATGCCATGAAACGAAAAGTTAAAAGGTAAGAATAACTTACCTTGCTTCAGGCCTTGGATGGATGTGGGGCCTTGAGTGGTGGTTGCATGGAGCGCTTCTGGATTCGAAGGGAGGGACCAGGGGTTTGGCCTTTGATGCTGGATTCGAAAGAGGATAACAAGCGTGAGGTTCTTCCTGCTGGATTCGAATGGTTGTCACAGAAGGTTGTCTTTCTGAGTTTGAACAAAACAACTATGTGTGGGGTGTTTTTCAGAATCGAAAGAGACTGAAGTGTGTGGGATTCTGGTTTTTTTATGTTATTTCTCAAGTGTTGATGAACTTTGAGAATTTTTTTGTGTTTGATAAAATTTGGAGGATTCGTCCTCTTGGTCCCAAAAATCCTCCTCTGAACATGTTGTGAAGCCTTGTATTTATAGGCGAGGTGGATGAAGCTTTGATATGGTTTTGGGGGGGAAACAAAAATAATGTTTGAATTATTTGGGTATACTGCCCCCTTGTTTTCTTCAATGCAGTTCTTGTGCACTCCGCTTTCGTGCAAGTACAGGACTGTCAACGCAGGTTTTTCAGTCTTTTGGAGTTTAGTGGCAGGTTGGTGCAGGACTATGCAGCAGTTTTGTGGCAGGTTTGAATTTGGCAGTATATGGGAGGCCACTTGTGTGCTTTAAGTACGTTGCTTCGAAGGGTTTAGTGGTCCAACTTGTGAATCGAAGGAGACTGTATTTCCAAATCGAAGCTTGTGACTGAAGGGAGCTATGTTGCCCAATCGAAGCATGTTTGCAGGCAGTAAACTTGTCCAATCGAAAGCAGGCTTGCAGGAAGCAAACTTGTCCAATCGAAAGCAGGCTTGTAGACAGCAAACTTGTCCAATCGAAAGCAGGCTTGCAGGCAGCAAACTTGGTGAATCGAAATAGGCTTGCAGGCAGCACTTGTCCAATCGAAGCAGGCCGAATCGAAATAGGCTTGCAGGCAGCACTTGTCCAATCAAAGCAGGCTGAATCGAAATAGGCTTGCAGGCAGCACTTGTCCAATCGAAGCAGGCCGAATCGAAATAGGCTTGCAGGCAACACTTGTCCAATCGAAGCAGGCTGAATCGAAATAGGCTCTTGCTCAAAACGAAGGATGTAATCCAAGTTGCATTCGAATGAGACCTGCCAGCACATGAAATCAAAGAAACAAAAAACACACATTTCGTGCTTGATTAGAAGTTTGTGATACATAGGCTAAGAATGTTCAAAACACTTGACAATTTCTGCATAATCAATGCTCGAAGGTGAGAGGTCAAAACCAACTGTATTTAGTGACCTTGACCTTTGTATAAACATGCAAAAATAAAAATGGGATCTTAGGTCAAAAATTGGGGTACAACAGCTGCCTCTATTTAAGTTTCTTCTATCTGGAGATATGAAGATTGGGATCTTCATTTCGACGAGATTGAAGGGACTTGAATATAGAATACACAATTTTTGGCCTTAAGATACCACAATTGTGTTTATGATATGATATGAATGCAATGCTCTGAATTTTATGGGGAATGACGCCATATGAGACAAACTATGTTGGAGAAACCAAGCACATTATACAATAATCCCACAGGGGAAGAGATTATAACTCAACTGGGGAAACAAGAGTCATAGGCTTCAAATGAGAGACTCTTGAATGATTTACATCAGTGTTGGGACTGGAAAAGACATGATTGACATCAGTACGGAGACTGGAGAAAAAATGATTTACATCAGTACGGAGACTGGAAAAAGAAATGATTGACATCAGCACTGAGACTGGAAAAAAAATTATTGACAACAGCATTGAGACTGGCAAATGATTGTCATCAGTACTGAGACTGGAGATAAACATCTCTGACTTCTGAATTTCACCAAGAACGGTAACACAATTCTTAACCAAGATATCACTTGAAAAGGATAAAATATAAACTTCCCCACGGGACTTTTCCGAAGGGATGCCATTTGCTGAGTAGACATTATTGTTGGGGATACACAAGCTGCTC